AATTTTCACCGGTACATATACCATTCGGCAGACCACTCGAAACCCATTACCACATCACAGTAAAAACTATAATAATATATTTCAGACCTATTAAAAACCGCACCAATTTCTATCGATACCAGTAGCAATAATTTTCAAATTTAATTTAATTTAATTTATATTTGGCGTTAATAAAATAAGACGATTTCTTTTGGTTCCCCTTAATTGAAGCCGTACATTTACCTCACTTATTTTTCTTGGTTGGTGGTTGGTTATAATGCCAATTGCCACACGGGCAAGCCTGATTGGTGAAACCGAGCAAATTTAAGGCAGAGTGTGCGATCCTTGTTTTTCAGTGGCGCCATCTATGGCCGAGAATTCGACTTCTGCCACATCATACGTCACACCTGTTTATAAGGTGGATACATTCATACATCCATTCATTCATCCACAGATCCTAATTTTGACCTGAATCAGAGAACGATCGATCTCCAATCCAGTACCTCCAGAGGTTTTGATTTGTTATGGGAACATGGAGGACTTCGCTACCAGGCAGAATTTTAACGTGCATCAGTCACCTACTACACGGGGAGTCTTCGGCCGGCGGGGTTCGAACCCACGAACTCTCAGACATGGGCCCAGCGCCCTACCGACCAGGCTATCCCGGCCCCTTATTTTTCTCTATTTGGGGATATTTCATTTGCGTTCCAATAAGGTGAACTGTGCTCGAATCCCAGAGATGACTGGTCAATACGAATTCCACAACCGACTCGCGCCGCCCGATGTGCTGACCTAATATATCCTCAGTAGTAGACGGATGGTGTGTTCGAGTCCTCGTGCCGTCAGGTAAACCTCGGGAGGTTTTCCTCTCAATGTAATGTAAATGCGGGTTAGTTCTATCAAAAAGTCCTCTTTGAAGGTAAATTTCTCTCAATACTTGATCCAGAAGTTCCCTTGCTTTTCTGGATTGGGTTGAAATTAAAAACTATCGAGTTGAACATTGGTAGACGTAAAACCAAAAATGGGTCAGCTGTTCAACGCTAATTATAAAATGTAAAGTAAAATTATCGTTTTATGCCGTGGTGACTCAGGGGATAAAGCATTTGCCTTCCATTGATGTGACTGAGTTCGAATCCCAGTGATAGCTGGTTGATACGAATTCAGCACTTGGCTCACATCGACCACAGCACTGAAGTAAAACATCCTCAGTGGTAGATAGATCATGTGTTAAAGTCAACTTGTGCCAGCCTGACCATTGGAGGTTTTCGTGGCTTTCCTCTCTATGCAACGCAAATGCTGTTTAGTTCCATCAAAAAGTCCTCCAAGAAGGCAAATTTCTTCAATTCACCCATTTCTTAAATTCACCCAATACTTGCCCCAAGAGTTCCCTTGTCTTCTGAATTGGGTTCAAAATTACAAGGCTTGTAAGTTGGACATTGGTAGTCATAAACTGAAAATTGAGTAAGATGTTTAATGACGTTATAAAAATAGAGTTTATTTTAATTTATTTAGGTATATGAATAGATAATTTTAGATGCACTTTTTCTGTGACGTAGCAACCAATATACCTTGATTACTAAGGTTGTAAAAATTAATTAAGAATACGCAGTAAAGCCATAAACGGAATCCTTTAAAATTTCATTTGTAACAATATTTAATACTTAACTACTGCGAAAAATATCATTTTTCAAACGTGTCCCCCGAACGAACAAATTTAAAATTTTTAATGATTACTAGTGATTTTTAAATAATTGTTATAGGTTTGGTAAATTTTTAAGATTAGGATCAGGACAATCGCGCAAATATTTCTAGAGTTATGAAAGATTCGACTTGATAAGTTCCTACATTGCAGACGTACAAAAATACTCCGTAAACACAAAAGAGACGTTGAGAAAAAACGCTAATTTATTAAACAGGGAAACTTGTTAGAAATATTTTTAATTTATTATGTGGAAATATTTTAAATTTAGGGATTTATTTTTAAAATCCAGTAAAATTTTTAAAAGAAGAGGTTTTATTTTTATACATTTGTTATACATTTCTTTTTAATCTCGACACTTTATCACCATTCAGCATAATGAATTTAAGTTATTGACAGATTTTCGTTTACACCGCAGCATTTTCTTGCATTTTTAAAAAGCTACGCAATTTATTTGTCACATAGCATTAGTGTTGGGTAAATTTGTTGAGTTTAATTTAAAGTGATGTCTTTAAGTAAAATAACTTTAAAGATTTATTTGAAGATAATAACATATTATTTATTTAAACAAAATATTTTTTTTCTACTCGTATTTTTTATGGGTTCACGCATTGTTTTTCTTTTCAAATAAATATGAAAAAATTTAAAAAATGGCATTATGGTTAATCATAATTAAATTTATGCTATGACATTCCATTTAGCGTGAAAAAAGATTATTTATTACTGAATCGTCGATTTTAAATTGGAAAAATAGAAAATCAAATTTAATTTTCAAAATCAACAATATTTTGATTTGAGTGAAAAATTTATTTTACCAAAATATCAAATATACCCCTTTAAATTAAGCTCATTCAATTTAATTTCACAGAAATTCTTCGCTTAGCACAAGTTTTATATTGAATCGACGAATGTTATTCTCTGATATTTAATTTAATTGCAATTTTATTCTTTTTCCTGTCTTTTCTAAAAAAAAAAAAACACTTTTTTTATTTTGATCTATTTAAAAAAAAAAAAATTACAAGAAGCATCGATGCTTGTGTTAATATTCCTAAAACAGAAGAAAGGGCGCATTCTAGGGTTGAAGAATTGCATGGGAAACCATGCCCGGAAACGTCATCGTACGCCGCTAGGTTGTGCTGTACAGGAGAGTGCTGAAGAGGAAAGTGAAGACTGTCACATTCGAGCATTAGGCAGCATACGAAGACCATGGAACTTTGTACGGAACGGAGAGCTTGCAAACATGCACCAAGTGTATGGAATAGCTGACGGTAATTGGATGAGTCGCTGCACACATTCATCGAGAACGCTTCCCAGACAGAGAGCACAGTTTGTTTTCACGTCTGCATTAAAATTTGTGCGAGTACGAGTCATTAAGTGGTGGCAGGACAAGTGAGGATGGGCCATGATTGACTCGTTCGGTAGTTAGGGAAGAAAGTGTTAAGGAAAATGAAATATGCCCTTTTAGGTTATTTTATCGTAATTTTAGTATTGAACCTCTAACAGTGCAAACGATACTCATAGTTAGTATTTGTATGGTGGTTTTTGTTAGAATTCAATAAATTTTGGTGTCAAGGAGATATTAAATCAAATAGCTCTTCATTATAACAGTCGTAATACTTATAAATGAGTCCTGCACTTTAAAATATAATTGCTAAAGTTAAACAAAGACCTCTAAATCTATCTTGAATTAAACGTTATTCTACTTTTCTTGACAGAGAATAACGAGAAAAAGTAAAATTCCAGGAGCTAAAATATCGTTAAAATACTTAAAATCATATTTAAATCTCATTGATGGTTATAATATTTAAATCAATATTGATTATGATTCTATTACAATGTATCTAATCAAGCAGCAATAATTCTTATGGTAATGTATTCATTCTGAAATATATTAGTGCTTAGAATACAGTCATTATGGCGCACTGTAAATAATTCCGGATCAAATTCCGGTAAAAAGTACCGGCTCTCAGGGTGTTGGTACGTTTTTCAGGCTGTAGGTACATTTTACCTGAAAATCCATTTTTACCACAACAGGCTGTGGAGCAAAATTAAACTGATATACTGAAATTTTCAAAGTGATAATTACCCCAAATTCTCTAAATCACTCAAATTAAGCAAATAATACTGTAAAAATTAAGGTATAATATTTCATGGCAAAAATGAATTTTATGATAAAATGGATTTTACGGTTGATGCAACCAAACTGCCGATACTCTATATTGTAGTTTGCTCTAGAATATATTTGGTCCGGAGATAATATAAATCAAGTAAAAAAGAGCTGTTTTTCCTTATGTTCAATAGACAATATAATGGTAACCGCAGTGTGATAATGTTGAAAAATTCAAATTACATATTCTTGCATATACACTTTTGAATACTTTTTTTTCTAAAAAAAAGATTCTTCAAATTTTCTTAAACTTTTTTTACATTTTAACCGGTGTTGAACACCTACCTCAAATCTGAGATTCCTACTACCAATGTTCAAATGTCTAACCTTGTAATTTTGAACCCAACTTGGAAGAAAAGGGAACTCCTGGATCAATCATTGAGACAAACTAACCTTCGTTTAGTACAGGGTTTCTTAACCTGTGGTTCACGAACCTCTAAGGTGTCCATGAGTTTTATTTTGGGGGTCCGCTGACTACTCCTAAATTTTAAAACGTTTGGAAGCCTACCCATTGCTTGCAAAGCGAGCTATGGCAGCTATAATTCCGTTTGCTACAGTGTATCTTTGCAAAGAGGGATTTTCCACACTTGTGACAATAAAAACATAACATCCAAATCGATTAAATGTTGAACATGATATGCACGTTGCTTTGTCGAAAACCATCCTCTAATTCAATTTATTAATTAAGGAAAAGCAGCAGCAACCTTCACATTAAAAATTGTAATTTTAAAAAATTTTTATACTATTAAAATAATAAAACTAAATGTTTTCTAATAATTGATGCCTTTTACAATTATTTTTTTCCCAAGGGGGTGGTCTGTGACTTCTTAAAAATTTTTAAAAGGGGTCCATTATATCAAAAAGGATAAGAAACACTGGTTTAGGACTTTATGATGGAACTAACCCACATTTGCATTGCATGGAGAGGGAAACCACAGAAACTCATGATTCATCTACCACTGAATATATTTTACGTCAGCACTGTAATCAGTGCTAGCCGGGAACAGAATTCGTATCCACCAGTCACCTCTGGGATACAAACCTGCCTCACCTCATTGGTAGGCAAACACTCTATTCTCTAAGCCCTTGTGGCTCTCTTAAACTTATTTGCCAGTCTTCAAACTAATAAGATAAAATACTACAAAATAAAATTACCTGAATTTCCTGTGCGTGGAGTGTTTTCTATGACTAAAGTCCTGGTGTCTTGCCGCTGCTTCTTAGACCTGGTTGGAACTTTATTCCCGATGGCTTTTCTCGCTCTCTCATGAATAGCCCTGAAGATTTTGTAGTAAAGGTAGACCATCACAAGGCATGGAATATAGAAGGAACTGAGCGAAGAATAGATGATGAAGTCTGAGTTGTAGAAGACACACAGGTTCGGTTGCCTTTCGGGAGAAGTGTTGAGGCCCAGGACTATGGGTGAGCCTATGGCAGCAGATACCAGCCATACGAAGATAATGGTGAGGAAGACTCGTTTGTTGTTTTTGTGTTTCGAGTATTTTATCGGCTGAGTAACTGCGATGAATCTGTTTAGAATTGCAAATAAAATGTGTCAAAAAATTGCACAACATTTAATGAATCTCACGATTGCTGGCAGTTACAGATTAATATTTAGTTTGGCTGAACATTTTAACATGATATTTAAAATATAAATGCATTGTGGTGAGGAAAATATAAATGAAATTCGTTGTTGAAATCTGAAAAATAATGTATTAAAGTAGTTCAACGAGCTTACCTAACTACTGTATATCGTTTGTTAGTATAACGTGGTTTTTTAGCTTTAACATAATTAATAGTGTAGAAAAATTTGATTGATTTTTTTATATACAACAAATAATAGAGCCCACGGTCATAACCAAATTTTCTCAACAGTTACTGATCATTTAGCATTTACCATTCACGATAATGACCACTATGCAAATTTAATAGAATCTTATATAATTATTAAAATATATTCTATATAATTATAATCTTATATAATTATATATTATTATAATAAGAATCTTAATAATTTAAAACTTTGAAACGGATCTAAACAGAAATATTATAATAAAATAAACATAATCTAAAAGCAGTTGAGTAAGAGACATTTCGCACAATGTTATGGTTTCCCGTCACTCTAACAACTCAAACGCTACTTGAGCTTCAAAGCGCATGCGCTAAAAATTTCCCTACAGATCGTAAAAACACAATGGAATAGAAAATCAGGTTGTCGTTACGGTTAACATTAGGCTAACTCTATATAAAATCTCTTTTCTGTGACAACCTCACGAAAAGGTTACTGCCACCAAGATTTTATTTTGAAAATTATAGCTGTTTCCTTGCAAATTTAAAATGATTTATTTTAGATATCATCCTCAATTTAATCAATTAGAACGATAGAGAGATTCCAGTAAAGGAGGTGATAATATCTGCAAGCTTTAACACCGTAGCTCTTAGGACAAGGGTGTAGTGGAATTGGTACGCGAGAGAATGACGTACAAGTTCCACTGTTTTTTCCTGTAAAATTACTTGTCAATTTTGAAGTTTTTTTATTCATTGTAATTTTTTTTTATTTATTGTAAAATTTGTTTATTTCCGTAGTTTTTATGTGCGTTCAAAATACTTCTTCTATAAATATTAATTAATTGTTAAAATTTCTTTGTGCACTGTCATCTCTTATTGTTGCTGTAGGCATATTTGGCATGAAATGTCGAAGACTACCTCTGAGGATAGACATAAAGCAAGCTTGCATCAAAGCGATTACATTTTAGAAAGATTTTAACCAAATGTATTTGGAAACCAAAGTTTCTAAACATTTTATTTTTACAGTACCTCCTTCACCAAATTATTATTATTTTTTTTAAGTGGGCAAAACGTTAGAATTTTTTAGCTTTCTCCACCTCTATAAAAAATTTGTCTCTACAACATTGCATAAAATGGCTACGCGTTTAAAGTGTTGCAAAATAAAATGTGCAAAAGCGATATAGAGAACAGCGAGCCCTGAATAACCGAAAAGCAAAATTGTTTGTTAACGTGCACGGATAAATGATTAACTTTAAATAATATAAATTATCATTTCCAAGAATTGTCATTTTCTTCCAAGAATTATAATCCTGATCTGTAGAGTGATCTGATGATTATTTTAATAATTGTGAATCAGTCAGTATATAATCTCTATTCATTTAACCTTAAATTCAATAGTACGATACTTTCATTGTTATCAGCCAATTTCCTGCCAGGTACTAGCTAAAATGCTAGGTTTTGAGAGGTCCATTAGGATTTGTCATAGACACACCTATGATCATATATGGCAACGTTACTTTTAAAAAGTAACGAGTAAAAGTACAAGTATTTTTACTAAAAGTAACGAGTAAAAAGTAAAAAGTTCTCATTTTAAAAAGTAACGAGTAAAAAGTACAAGTAAAAGTACAAGTACTAAACAAAAAAAGTAACGATTTAAAAGTACATTTCTAGGAAATCGAAAATTCAAAGTAACCTAAAATTTTATTGAATAATATTCTTATGTTCTTTAATGTTTTTGCAAAATTGTTGTTATTTATTTAATTATTTTTAATTTTGAAAGTTATGGACATTAATTTATTTTTAAATTCGGAAGAATATTATAATATAATTTTATAATATAATCGTATAATATAATTTTAAAATCAAATATAATTTTAATATCAAACTTTTTATGGATTTGCACGAAAAAGAAATTTTATCTATTGATTTTAATTTTTAGTTTATTATTTTTATTTATTTAAATTACCATTGATTTAAAATTGTTTTACTCTATAGAAACGCGTTTTAAAAGCACAAACATAAACAAAGCAAACACGGGGTTTCAGATAGCTTTGTGATCTTTGAGCTAGTAAAAAATAATTGAATGTGCAGTATAAGTTGAAACAGAACAGTCTACAGTTTTATTTGTAACAATGGCTAATGCTGAAGTCATGCGAGAAAATCATTTTCCGAACATTTCTGCCTAACGGAATAATTAAAATTTGTAAACGAATTTTAGTATCAGCGGCTAAATTAATACCTTCGAGTTTTCAAGAGTTAAAATAGTAATTATAATAGTTTTCAATAGCACAAATAGTTCTGAAGTTCTTAGAGATTTGACTGGGCGTTGTTTGACAAGGTCGGGCATAAACATAATTTTAGTAAAAAATGTACTAGGTAAAAATGTATTTAGTAAAAAATGTATTAAGACAAAAATGTATTATTAGTGAGTTCAAAAAGAAAATTGAAAAACGTAATAACAAAATCCAACATTTTTTATTTAAAATGTATTAAACAAATGCATAAAACTCGAAAATGAATGAAAATAACTTCTTAATTAATATTTTTATTCATTTTGCAAAATAATTGCATTTTGACAGCACTTTTTTTTATTTTTTTTTTAGAAAGCTTACCGAGTTTTAGAAAAAAGTAATGATTTCATTCGATATTTCCGTTACAAATACTTGTACTTTTTCTCTAAAAAATTACCGAAAGTACAAGTAAAAGTACTAAATTTAAAAAGTAACGAAGTACAAGTAAAAGTACGTACTTTCTACTTGTACCGGCGGTACAAGTAACGAAAGTAAAAGTACTGCCATATATGCCTATGATAATCTATGGCAACCATAAAAGTTTATAAGGCAAGATACCATAAGCCTATAGTAACCATAGAAATTTATATGGCAAGACACCGTAAGTATTTGATTACCATAGAAATTCGCACGGTATTTTTATGGCAAGACACCATAAGCCTAAGGCTAACATAGAAATTTGTATAGCATTTTATGGCGAGATACGGTTATGGGCATATATTTATCCTAATGGTTTATTTAAAGGCATATGGTAAAGTAATGGAAGCACTCAACATCAAGACACACTAGATATCAAGAACCAACTGTCGATCACTTCATCCACAGTTGGTTCTTGATATCTAATTACGGAACTAACCTCCGAACGAAAAAGAAAACTGAAATTGCAGTACATATATATTTTTGTTATTGAACTGGGGTAATATTTCAATTTACAGTCGATTTTAAGAGCTTGGTAATATAATGCTGGCAAAATTAAATTTTGTTTAGTTAATTTCATGACAAATGACAAAGATCCACAGTTGGAGCATTTTAACCCAATATTTTCTAAAGTAAAATCTAGGCAAATTCCATATTTTCAAGAATTTACATTTTTATCTAAAATTTACACCAGCCTACAAATAACCTTCGAAAAATATTTTTTATTAAGAATTTTTTATTGAAGTTTAAATTTGATTATATACTTAGGTTTTATGTTTAACTTTAGAAACTTCACCAACAAATTTACTAGTTCACTTTTTTATAACATTCTGATTCAGATCGTGGTTTCTAAGTTTGTATTTCGATCAAAATTTATATACTAATTTTATAATATAGTTGATAAAAAAGTCACGAATGTGAAATTTACTAACATTTGAACAAACAAAGAGGAATATGGATTATAAACAAGTTAAAACGTGAATATAGGCTATAGCATTTTACTCATTTTTTTCTTTTATTCGAGGACTGCAACTAAAATAATAATTATTATCTTGCAGAATTAGTTCCCTAAATTAACTAAAATTTTCTCAGAAAGTACGATGGCAAAATTTTTCTTTAATATCTTTTAATATTTTTCACTAATTACTCATTTTTACTTTAAAATGGTTCGATATTCAAATTTATAACGAAGCTGTTTTATTTTATAAAGAAACCTTATTAAAAGTGAGAAAAAAAACTGCTTTGAGAATATGATTCTATAAATAAAGTTTTTTTATAGGTTTCGATTTCAAATTTCGAATTTTAAACTTTTATTCCTGAATAAAACCTACAATTTTTCTAAAACTAAATTCTAAGTATAAAATATATCCTTACATATTTTTTATATTTTGAAATAAGACTCGCGAATCTTAAAGATATTAATTTGAAAACTCCATACTTTCAAGAATTAAGAAAAAAGGAACGAGACTATAATTTGATAAACGCGTTCTCCTTCTCTTTTGCCGTTTGAAGTAATCCAAAACTATTATAGTTCCGCTCTTTAGCCGAGGTTAATGGATATAATAAATCCCATTTGCTCTCTTTTCATTTTTGTTTTGATTTACTTTATCATCTGTTTTTCTCCAACAGTCATATTTTCTTTTAGTTATTACCTGTCAACACTGATGGCAACAAGATTAAAGATGGAGGCTGTACTGCAGGTTACATCTAAGGCAATGTAGAAATCGCACAGAGTCTCACTTAATTCCCAATCCACATTAACCTAGAGAGAGAAAAAGTTTGCTCAGTTTATTTATGGAAGGTGAGAGTTTATTAAATCATACTTTACGCACACAAAAGTTTTTTTTTCATTATTCTCAGTTAAATAAATATATTAGATCTTTCGGTTGACGTTAATTCAACACTAAAATTTATATTCTGTTTTAAATCATATGGTAACTTTCAAGGAAAATAGTGTATATTGAAAAGTAAATATAGGGAGGAAAAGTGAAAAAAAAATTAGATTAAATTTAATGGTTCAAAATTGAATTATTTGGAAATTGTTTTTTCTTTTTTTTAATATTTACTGACTTTAGAATCAATAAAAGAAAAAGGGCTTATGACAGTACATTTTGAAAAGAAAAACACCATTTGAGTAAATCCAAAAAAATAATATTTTCAAAATTTTGTAAACGGATGAATTATTTTCTTTATTTAAAAAAATCTATTTATTTTATTATTAATAGTTCATCAGAAATTACTATTTGTAAAGAAATTCTGTAGTATTACATTGATTTTAAGAACGCAATTTTAAATTATATTTAAAATCTCTAAACATTGATACAGGGGATGGACAGAATAATGGAAACACTTCTATACTAATACATTTTTTCATGTTTCTCAGGAAATTCCTAAATAATCATATTATAACATCAGAAGTGTTTAGATCATGCGATTTACACTGTCTTAGGTTCTGGATTTGTATCTCGACAATATCAGATAACATAACAGCCAATCACTGGCTGTTATGTTGTGTGATACAAAATTAAGATAAAAGATCTGATGACACAACACATGTATTAAACATAGGGAGTAATATAATGTAAACACATTGTAATATGCAGAATATATGTACCCAGTCCAGTCACATTAATGCGACTACCAGTCAAAACCACCTGCGACCACCTTTGACAGAGCGGACCGCTGCGAGACGTGCAGGAAAAGAGTCAATTAGGTTTACTCTCGGTAACTCCTTGGTTCATCTATGCGGTCAGTTGCATGCACGGTATACTTTTACCACGGCGGCACGGGAACAGTTCACAAAATTAGCCGTTTCCGAAATGCTTCCAGCCTTGGCCCGAATGCCAATAATCATGCCCTTTCGGACGTCTTATAAATCGCTACGTTTTTGCATTACGCCAGCGATTGTAATGCTTTCCGATGCCCTAGGACAGTGGTCGGCAAACTTATTAGTCAAAGAGCCAAATATGAACATTACAGCAATTCTAAAAAAAATTGGGAGCCAAATCTGCTTGTCTAGTAAGCTTTTATTATACTAAATAAGTAGTACACAAAATAAAACTAAATTTCATACTTAATAAATATTTATTAATGCGAACAATGTGCTTGCATCTCCTTGGAAAGTTTGAGTAAGTCAGGTTTGCATGTTGTTTTTAATTTTAGGCATGATTCCAAGTTCTCATCAATAAGACGACTTCTCAGATTACTCTTGATAATGTTCATGATTGGAAAAGATTGTTCGCATATATATGTAGAACCGAAAAGGGAAAGAACAGCAAACGCGAGCTTTTTCAGCTGATCGTAAGAGTCAGGAATACTATTCCAAGCGTTGAAAATGATCATGTCTTCCTTGTCCAGGTCATTCAAAGCAGACCACTTGTGCTGTGAACTAAGATCAAATTTTTTCTTCTCCTGTACTTCCAATTCAACACAAAGACGTTCGAATTTAGAGTGCCATCTCCTTGTTTTTTAAATCCAGCAATTGTATTTAAAACTACCAATGTCAATTTCAAAAGAAGAAAATTTCAACTCGGTTATCGTAGCATTAAGAGGATTTTTGACAAATGCTAAAGTTGCTCTGCCCTTTTTAAATTCCTGAAACCTGCTGAGAAATGCTTCCCTCATATTTAAAATTATTGTTTTAAAATGGTGTTTATCAATAGAGGATTAATTTTCTTGGCGATGCTTCAGCAGGCTCGGAAAGTGAAACAATGTTTCCCTTTCAAAATCCTGAGCAAAAATGGATAATTTGTTTTCGAATGTTATTACTTCTTCTAACATCGAAAAAATTAAGTTTCCTTTCCCTTGTAGTTTACGATTAAGCTGATTTAGATGAGACGTAACGTCTACCATGAAATAAAAGTTTTAGATCCACTGATCGTCTGTTAGTTCTGCATAGTGAACGCCCTTCTCAAGGAGAAATGCTTTAATTTCTGGAAAAAGGGAAGCGAAACGTTTTAAAACGTTCCCTCTTGATAACCAACGTACCTTGTTATGAAGCAGAAGATCAGCATACTCGCTCTCCATTTCAAATAAAAATTCTTGGAATTGGCGATGATTAAGAGCTTTAGCTAAAATTGCGTTGATAATGGTAATCACTAATTCCATAACTTTACAAATTTCATCTGGAAATGTTTGCGCACAAAGCGCTTCTTGGTGAATGATGCAATGGTAAACATGTATTTCGTGATTAATTTTTTCTTTCAAAATAGCAACAAACCCTTTTCTTAAGCCGGTCATACTTTTGACCCCATCTGTTGAAATCGACACAATTTTATCTAGAGGAATATGATGTTTATCCATACACTCAATTACAGCATTTGCGATATCTTCTCCACGCGTCTGACCTTTGAGTGGCAATAATCCTAAAAGTTCTTTTTTAGGGCCTGAATGAGACATAAATCTTACAAAAAGTAAACCTTGCACTGTATCATTTATGACACAAGACTCGTCAACTGCTATTGATAAAGCCGAAACCAATTTCAGATCTTCGATATGCTGGGTAGTTATATTCGAACACATTTTAATTGCTCTATCTTTAATGGGTTTGTCAGACAATGGTACCTCTTTAGTTCTTTTCAGAATATCTGCTTTGTTCTTAAAATTCCGAAATAGCTCTTCGGATTAATTTACCAAAATAAGATGCAATTTTTTTCTTACCAATTTTTTTTAAAGGAAAATATTATTGCGCCTTCCGTGGATGTTTGTGCCAGAGCCGCACTTAAGGAACCAAAGAGGCGCATGCGGCTCTGGAGCCGCCCTTTGCCGACCACTGCCCTAGGACATCCTTTATATACACTCCACTGTAATGTGCTGCCACCTGCCTTCTGTGATTGGTTATTTCACGTTGACGCCGAAAGTAGATGTTGATCTTATTGATGTGATAAGCTGTGTATATACATATAAAAGTTAAAGCTGTTCCCAAGAACTTCACCACTGCTTAATATCGACTTTAAATGAATCTAATTTAATTGTAGGCAATTTCATTGCGTAAGATCGAGTAACAGGTGCTGTAATCGAGGACTCTAAATTCGTCTCCAAATTTTCATTATTAACAGTCAATGCAGAAAACTTATTCATAATTTCCATAGCGAATTCACTTTGCATGCTGATTTTACGAGCTTTAAAAAATGCGAGTTCAGCTGAATGCGTATAGCTTTCGCATTGAGTAATACCGTACCCACTTTTTGCAAAGCAAAAAAATGAAATAGTTTATTACTATTAAAGAAATTCGTTTCGGTACAGAGAGATCAAGAGTTTATGCCAGTTCAAAAGTTTATTAAATTGATTAAATTATAAAAAACGTTGTTATCATATAATATCGAAACTGAAATGAAATGTTAAATACAGTAAGCATTCAAAAATAAACGGATATAAAACTAAAGTAATAAAAATTTCAATGCACACAAAGCAAAATTTTATTATAAAATAAAATAGGAATGCCATAATTTGATATAAACTTATAAGCAAATTAAAAAGTACAGTTTGATACACAACTTTTTCAAAAATACTTTTGGGGGATTTTGTTAAATTAGGACATACATATTAAGGAAAAAAGTTTTGGTCAAACCATGCATAGTAAGTGATAAACCAAAGTATTTGGATTTTAAAACTAAATAAAAATTTATTTATTTTCAAATATAAAATACATTTTAAATTAAATATTGCATCACGAAACTTTTAATTGCGCTGATTTTTTTAAAAAATTAATTGCAAGGATGAGCCTCTCTTCGAAAGTATTATTGAAACAAAATTCTCTTTAATTACCATTCTTCGGAAAACGGAATTTGGGAGTTAAAAAAATTGTATTTAAGTCTATGATTGTTAACAACGGAATAAAAATATTGCTAGTTAGTACACTAATTAAGTACAATCTATAAACTAAAGTATCTAGGTAAAAATTACAATAATAAATTTACTTTTTTTGGCGAACATAATCATTTTTTGTTAATTACGTAAAGGCGATTCGTTAGGAACATTTCATTTGATAGATAAAAATAAATAAATAACATTTAATTATGCTTATTTAAATCTAATATTATTTTTTAAAAATTATATAGCTCAAAGATTCAGAGGAAGAAAAAAATAGTTTATGACTGCATTATATAAAAGGAATTCCATTTCCTAATTATAATTAAGTCCATGAGGTCGATATTGAAGTNATTTAATTATGCTTATTTAAATCTAATATTCAGAGGAATCTATAATAAGATTCAGAGGAAGAAAAAAATAGTTTATGACTGCATTATATAAAAGGAATTCCATTTCCTAATTATAATTAAGTCCATGAGGTCGATATTGAAGTTTTGAAAACAAACTTAAAAAGGCATAAAGATATTTCTTGTTTATGAAGGAATGATTATTTGGGTTGTGGCTTAAACTTTTGTGTCACGTTCCTTTTTTTAAAGTTCTTAATAAGGTGGTACATTACTAAAATTTTGCTGAATTGGGAATAGATCTTAAAGATGGTGCCTCACATTGATGAGCCATTTTTGAATAATATTTACTTGTAATTTAATAGTTAAATAGCCTTTCCGAAATAGCCGGTTGTGTTATTGTTACTTATACCACAAGCCTGCCAAAGATGAACACAAAATATTCTATTTTGTTCACTTAATGATAATTTGTCGCTACTAAACCGGATATTAATTATTTGATAAGCTAGACTAAAAACACTCAAAAAAATTTATCCAAAGTGGATTTAAAAAGGATCTTATGGTAATTCCTAAAAGAATATCAATAATCAATGATTAATCTTCAAAT